CATAAAAACCTACATGCGTAATCCGAACTTTTTATCACTTATAGTTACCGAGATATCAGCGTAAGAGGGTTCATGGTTAATCTCAATTTTGTATCTCTTATAGTTCCTGAGATCTCAGCGTTCATACGGACAGACGGACAGACAGACGGACATGGCTCATTCGTCTTCGCTACTCATCCTGATCAAGAATATATATACTTTATAGGGTCGGAAACGCTTCCTTCTACCTGTAACATACTTTTCATCGAATCTAGTATACCCTTTTACTCTACGAGTAACGGGTATAAAAATAAATGACCTGTAGTTAGAAGAGAGTAGAAATTGTTTTTTTTTCAAGATAAAAATGGACTTGGAATAAATTGAAATTAATGACTTTTCATTTGTAGGATTTAAGATATCTACAAGTCAGGGTAGAAAAGATGAAGAAAACTAGAAATTTTTTAGAATCAAATCGGTAAGCTGGTGCTAAAGAGCATCATTTCGTTTTTTAAAACTTAAAGTCTTGGATGTACATTTTGTATTCGGATCAAATTAAATTGTTTCTCAATCAGTTTAATGGAGTTCTACTAAATTCTCACTATCTGCGACTTCTCTTTATAAATACAAAACTACTTGTGTGTGAAGAAGTTGAAATGATAACTTCTATCCATGATGTACGAGGTGTGTTCAAAAAGTAAGGTGACTCTTCAAATTTCGCGAATTTCAAATTTTTCGATTATCGAAACCTTTTAGAAGTTATACGAGGTGTGTTCAAAAAGTAAGGTGACTTTTCAAATTTCAAATTTTTCAAATTTTTCGATTATCTTCAGTTTTGGGAACAAGAAAAAGTCACATGGGGCCAAATCCGGTGAATATGGTGGCTGAGGCATTATTGTGGTGTTATTTTTGGCCAAAAAATCCAAATCCTTTGATCCATATTTTTCGATAGCAAAAAATCGCCGAGCTCGCAAAACAACTTGTAACTTTACGCCTCTCACAACCAAACAAAAGAGGATGTTCCATTGAAACTTGGTACAGATGTTAGGGAAGAGTGTACCAATATAACAAAACAAAAAAATCGATAATCGAAAAATTTGAAATTCGCGAAATTTGAAGAGTCACCTTACTTTTTGAACACACCTCGTACACCGAAAATCATGTATCTGGAGTAAGGATTCAGCTACGGAAGGAATAGACACTTGTGGATGTCATAAAAATTTTGAGTACGAAAGAGAGGCAGCAAACATATATTATAATCTAGAAAATAGAATGATAAGAAAATAAAAAATACAAAAAAAGTATTTCAGACTATACAACTTTATTTCAGATAATTAAATATTGATTTCCTCATATAATGAAAACAAAATCACAGAAATAAAGAAAATAATTAAATAAACACATTTGTTGATAAAGGAAATATTTGTTTTATTTATTTCAGTAAATATATATAAATAAAAGATTTTTATATTTGAATTTTAAATATTTTTATTTTATTTTATTTTTATACAATTTTTATTTAAATATCTAAGCTTTTGGCAACATTTATTAAAAACTCATCGTCTTCATCTTTCAGTAAATACAGATATTTATTTTTAAGTCATCCACTTTTATATCGTCAAAGAGGTAGTCATTGTCTGGAAAAATAATTTCTTCTGGGTCATCTATATCAATCCTTTGAGCACATTGAAAGTACTCATGCAAAAACTGATTTCCAAATACATCCATCGTTTCTTCTCCAAATGGGAAATCTTCGCATTTGAGTGATTCCAACTCTTGTGGAATCATTTAAGTAGATGATGAGTGGGGTGCGAATACTTCTCTCAGATTCATGTCTATGATGTCTTCTTCGTCTAGAGCAATTATACAGTTTGGCTCCGATTTTCGGTGACCACCACATCGGAGTCTTTCCCACCGATTTCGATGTCCGTCAACAATTTCAAAGCCTGAATTGAATCGACAAATTCCACAGATATTACGCTCATGGTGATTTTGGTGCTCCTGACGAACTGATTCTGAACAATTTGACTGCTCTCCTTTTTATACTTAAAGGGCATACAGATATGTTATACTCCTAGACCTCCCAACAATCCAATTCAGTTTTTCAACTATATTGAAAGTCAGTTAATGGAGTTGGTCCATGTTTACCCAATAACTGTATGCATATGTATTGACATTTAGTCTGTGTACCTTTGTTTAAAGTATTGAAATCTAAAAAATCTGAAATTTGAATAAACTTGAAACTTTGAGTTATACTTGACTACGCACGTGTCAATTTTATTATAGTACGTCCATGAACGTATATCGGTTCTCCATATCGTGATAAGTATCCTTCCCTCTTCACACACATCTGGTTCCCACTCAAATATACACACGCACACACGTTGGCAGAGGCTTACATATATAGAAATTGACAGTGTGTTTTGAGAATATTCAACCCCTGAAGACGTTCCCAATCCTCCTAATTAGAGTCAGGAATACATTTCAATATTCCCAAATAACGGATAGGGGGTCGGAAAACTAATCATGACACAATCGTCACATTTTTTTTACTTCTTTGAACACGTGCACTGATTTTAAAAACTATAATTTATGGGTTTATGATTTCTGTGACAGAATCCATACTGACTAAAAAGGTGGTGGACGACGGATAATGGGTTTCGGGGTGGGGAAACCATGTCTTTATCACTAATGTGAAAGAACCAGCTTTATTAAACTACTGACTTGAAAGCAAATTTATTGTTGGCGGTGACTTTAATGCAAAACATGTATGGTAGGGAAACTAAAGAGCCTGTAGCAGGGGTAAGCAGTTACAAGAAGTCATTGCAAATGGACATTACCAAATACTTGCCACTGGTGAACCCACGTTTTACTCATATAACCCCCTGATCACACCGACAGCACTTGATTTTTCATAATCAATGGTATCGCCATAAATAGACTATAAGTAAGAACACTATATGCGCTCCACACTGCATGCCAAACCTGTGACAAAATCACATCGCTTGCAACTCCTTCCCAGAGGAGCTAATATAAACGCTTTCAAAACCTTCCTAGAACAACTGAGCGGGGTTAATTTACAAATCCAGGTCTCAATCAGATATATCAACCGATATATATGAACGTATGTATTCATTTGGTTGGGTTGAGTAGCGCTACTCTCAATGAAATTAATATTTTATTGCCCATATTTTTAAAATTATCAATTGAAACGTGTTCAAAGATATTTTCCCAGGGTGCCACTTTGAGTTGGCTTATTTTATTTATACCGGCTTGCGTTTCAAACCTTTGCAAAAATTGACCTAAGTCAAGAATTCCATTGCTATCCATTCCAATCGCTAACATGCAAGGGGACTAATTTACGTACTTCCTCATTGTTATAACTTCGAACACCTTGGACTTTGAAGCCCTTTCTATAAATTGCCTTTGAAATTATATTTTTTCTTTTCCTGCGCAGGAATTTTGTCTACTTTAAAATCTTTTAGTGACTTTCTTTATAGATCCGTTTATTTGTTGTAGCTGTTGAATAATTATTCTTGATAACGTATTTGCTACAATATTGTCTTTACCATTCAGATATTCGACTGTAAAATTATACTCCTCCAATTCAAGTCTCATACGCGTTAGCTTTGAGCTTGGATTTACCATTGAGAACAAGTATGTTAATGATCTGTGATCTGTTTTGACAGTGAAGTGTCTACAATAAATATGTGGTGTAAAATAAGTTATTGTCCAATAAATTGCTGTCAATTCTTGTTCTGTTTTACTTTTATTACTTTCACCATTAGTAAACGATCGACGCATAAGCAATTGGAAGTTGGAGTCCATTTTTGTTTTGAGTTAAAACTGCTCCAAATCAAGGCATGAAAAGTAATTTTCTTTTCCTAGTTGATCCAAAATGTTATCAATTCTAATGTGCGGAAATTTATTCGACAACAGTTTTTTTTATTAATTTGACGACAGTGGATTCCTAATCGCAATTTTTTCTTATCAAAACATGGAAGAGATTTCTTTGGAACTAACAAAAGTGGGCTGTTATAAGGGTCGGTATTGTCGATTAATTTTTGTACTTGTACTTGGATCTCATTTATTTGATTTTAAGAGTTTCTATAAATTCTTATGTATACTGGTTCATCATCATCCTTCAATCTTAGCTTTTGTTTGTAGTAGTTGTTGGTAGTGATCTATTTGGAATACGTTACTAAGCTGGGTGCATAAATTAGTCAGTTCATTTCTGAAATGTGGTGGAAAATTTTTAGCTAATTAAGATAAGACAGTGTTTTCTCTATTTGCTGGATTGTTTTGAAATATGTCGTAGTTCGAAAGTGGTTCATATGACAAATTTTAAATATCTACCACTTAATCGGTACTGGTTGTATTTAGTAATTGCACAATTGCATTTTTGGTTGTTGCAACTGAGTTTGCGACATAAATGCCTTCTTTAATTTCCTGGTTTGGAATTTGGTCTCATTATGATCCAATCTTCATTCGGGTTGAAATCTAACTTGCAATTGAATTTCTTAATGAAGTCAATGCCTTTTATTTCATTATTGCTAAGTGCAAATCTACTAAGTGAAAATCGTGTGGAATTATGCATTTACCTGTCTGTATCTCTATTGAAATCAGTCCTTCATGTCATGTGAACATCATGTGAAATCATGTCTTGAATATTAATTTTCTTATTTGTTTGGATATCATGAAAGATATATGAATTTTCCTTTAACAGAGATATGTCTGCACCAGTATCTATTAAAAATACAAGTTTTTTATTTGTCTTTACATTAAAAAAGTTTACAAATATATTTAAACTAAGGTTGATGGTATGAACCGCATAATTTCCTACTACTGAATATCTAAGGATGGTTGAGAGTATCCCTTATTGTTCTGGGCTTCTCTAACATTGTTTATATTATTATTATTGTTTCGGCAATTGTTGTTTCCATTTCTTCGGCCTCTACGGTAATTGTTGTTTTGATTACCATAAATATTATTTTGGTTATTTCAATTTCCAAATCCAGTGAGACCTAGTTGTCCTGGTACTCCTGTAGTTGGTGGGTCATCTCTTCACGCAGTCGAATAAGCTCCTCCTCGAGCTGAGCCACCTTTTGGACGTGACGCTCGCGAGTGACATCTAGATTCTGCTCCAATTCACGTACAATCGTGAAGTGTCTGAAATCGTGTGTCTTGGCATTTAGGCCGTCAATACGAACACGAGTAAAGTGTAACTCTCTGATGGACTTGGGCGTAGAGTGCGGCCTTTTGCTGACGACAGATGCCCTATGAGTGAATCTGATCCTTGAACGACAGCTCCTCCCGCAGGCTCTGAATGGTATTTTTGAAGTAAAAACGCAACAGTGTCTAGAGCACTGCTCTAGAGCCTTGCGCGTGTCCTCGAACTGCTGGCGCAGACAATCCAACTCTTTGGTCATATCGATCAGTTCTTCAGTAATCTTCTTCCGATCGGCATTGGCCAGCTCATTGAAACACGACTCGTACAAGCGGGCATTCCCCTCAGCAGTGCTGCACACCTTGGATTTCTTGACCAGACAGTTCTTCAACTCCTTGTTCTCCTTCCACAGACGCTTGCTATCGATCTCTCCACGGGTACGATCCCTGCCCGTATCATCCAGAAGATGACCCGTCTCCAGCAGCTCAGCATCCTCAGCCACGCGAGAGTAGCAGGTGGAGCTCAGGGGGCTGGAGACCGCTGATGAAGCGACACGTGGTTTTCCTGGGGTGCAACCATCTCCAGAAATTACCAATCCAAAGCGCGTCTTCTGCACAAGACGCAGACCGTATTCTAGTTGGATTTGCCCAACTGAGAGCAGTTCGAAAAACAAGCTGGCTCCAATTAGCAATTCCACACGCTGGGCTCTGTGGAAGGCTGGGCTCCTTCCAGTTGGAGTCATCAATGTTCTGACTAGGTTGACGCTCGGCGATGTGAGACGCCACAACTGCCTCAATGTAGACGGAATACGTGGATAGGCAAGACTTCAGGCAAACCGACCATTGACCGATGCTCCATCCGTAGTGACTTCAGAGACTCCAAGGCCAGTCCCCGCTACAGAGCCGATAAGCTGAAGTTGGCTGGACATCCGCAATGTGATGAGATTAACTTTTTTTTTTATATAGCTTTGCTTTTATTTATTGAATCTACTCTTAATTTTGAGACTAACAATAAGTTGACTGCATTCTGGTTGCGCGTCCCTCAGGGACGCCGCATACTCGCTGGGTGGGTAAGTCATTGCGACGAAGACGTGATTGGTTGCTCAACCTTGTTTGACCTTTCGCCAGTTGGTTATGGTGCACCGATAGCTTGGTGAAGTACTTTACCTTCTGTTCTGCGATCACTTCTTTGACTGGTAGAATGTTTAATTCGCGGTGTATGTTTTCGTTGCAAACGTACCACGGTGCCCCGGAGATTGTTCTCCAGATCTTCGACTGAACTCTCTGAACAATGTCAATGTTGCTATTGCTGGCGTCCCCCCATAACTAACATTCATATATGTTTTAGTACCGAGTTGTACAGCAGGACTTTATATTCAATGAAGGCTGCTAGCTTTTAGCTTTAGGTGTGTTCTTTTGGCTTCAATGTGCCGGCGACGTGTGAGTCTTCTGCCAAGATGTACTCCTAGGTATGTTACATCGTTTGCTTGTGGGAGTAGAGTGTTGTTTAACGTAATCGGCGGGCAGTTTTGCCTGTTCAGAGTGAACGTAACGTGTTTGCATTTTAGTTCGTTCACTTTAATTCGCCAATCTGATAGCCATTTTTCAACATCGACCATATGCTAGAGCTATCTGCGCAGTTGCTTGCATCGGGCATTTTGAGCGGCTAAGAATAGCAGTATCATCGGCAAACGTAGATTTTGTTAGTCGTTAACTTGTTGGGATTTCTGCTGTGTAGTGGACATATAATGTTGGCCCTAGCACGGTACCTTGAAGAACTCCAGCTCCAACAGTATAATCATCAGATATAGCACTGTTGCGCCTCACAACAAATTTTCTGTCGTAAAGGTAAGACTCTAAAATCTTGTGGGTGCTGTAGGGGAGCATTGTCTTGATCTTGTACATTTGACCTTCCAGCCAAATTCTATCAAATGCTTGAGAGACATCTAAAAATATGGCAGTAAAGTATTCTCGTTTTTTGAACGCGTTCCGAAATTCTGATGTTATGCGGTTGACCTGCTCAATTGTTCCATGCTTTTCACGAAACCCAAATTGGTGTGGCGGGATTCCTTCCTGGATTCTTAGGTATGTGTTTATCCGAGTCATTAGGCATTTTTCGGATAGTTTAGATAGGCCAGAGAGTAGGCTTATAGGTTTATACGACGTAGGGATAGTGTGGTCTTTCCCCGGCTTTGCTATCTTTATTATAATTGACTTTTTCCATCTCAATGGAAAGTGACCAAGTTTTGCGATGGCGTTAGAGAGCTGGGTGGGAGTGCAAACAGCGTAGTGTGGGAGCTCAATGATCATTTTGGGAGTTATGAGGTCACACCCAAGGGATTTTTTCGGATACAGTTGTCTTCTGATGATGTTAACGATTTCGTTTGGCGAAACTCAATTTGCTCATGTTGAGGCTGGGACTCATATCATAGAGTCGGCAAAGTAAACGCATTAGTGGTAGGATTTGGTTGGAAGACATTTTTGAGGTGGTTGGCAAACGTGCTGGCTCTGTCTGCGTCGCTCCGCGCCCAGCCGCCTATTTCTAATAGGCATCACGGTTTCTATCGGTGAGCTCAGAGTTGGGTGAGTTCTCCATAGTGAGAGTTTTGTAATATAAGTTGACAATTGCTCTATGAAGCGGCGGTGGACATATTTTTCTTCTTGCTTTAGAGCTTGAGAAAGTTGACGTGTTTTAAGCTTTGCTTAGCAGATGGCGATCTGTGAAATTGCCATTCTCGACGTTAGCGTCGCTTTTCAAGGACGAGCTGTTCGATTTGAAGATTTGTCTTCTTTTGATTGCATTGTGTACTTATAGTTTGAGGTGTTGAAACTCGAGCTGCAGAGACGAGTACAGACTCCAGTGAATTATCAAAACTCTACGTTGGTTTCGTCGCTGAGGTGAGGACTTAGATCAATGTGTGAGCTAATATACTTCCTAAACTTATCCCAATTGGTTTTATGTGAGGTCAGTTTTAATGATTGTTCACATGTTCTTGTATGTCGGAGTAGAGTAAAAAGGACAGGCGAGTATCAGAATTTTAGGAATGTTTTTGGTAATCGCAAAGTCTATTAAATCAAGAAGTTTCTTTGGGTCTGCCGGCCAGTATGTTGGTGTGACAGAAGAAACATAGTCGAGCTTGTTCTTGGGCGTGATAATTGCGTTATAGAGCTGCTTTCCTCTTGAAGTGACAAGACATGCTCCCAAGTGGCATTGTAGCCTCCTGTTGCTATAACGAGTTGAAAAACTGCATAAACTTATATTCAGCTATAGTGAAGCGAGGGGGCAGTATTCGGCGGCTAGCATTAATTGCTTGCCAGTATTTAGGTGTATATTTATGGATGTGGCCTTTAGGTTGTTTTTTTGCAAATTTCGTATGATAATGGTGCTTAATACGGCTTCTGGATAAAATTCCAGTCCCGCCGTGTGCTTTACCATCTGGATGATTTGTCCCATAGAATGAATATCCTCGAAGTTGGAAATCTGTATCTGGTATCTGGTATCTGTTTGTAAGAAGTGTGCATTACGTCGATTAAATTGTCTAGTAGGAATTGCGCAAACTCAAGTTTTTGCTGCGAAACGCCGCTAGCGTTCCACATAGATATTCGTAGGGAAGTCATCATTTGGATTGTTGTGAAACCAGCATTTGTATTAATAAATTTTGGTTTCGCATCAGATCTTGCTTAGTTGTACGCATGAACGACATAAACTCCGTAAGGCTTTGTTGTAGACTGCATATCATAGCTTCAAAGTTACTTTTTGGCTGATCCGGCGGTTGTTGCTGCTTAGCCGTGTTCGGATTGCGGCAATAAGCTTTTTGAGGCTGGGGTAGCAAGTCCTGATTTTAAAACACTTGCGTACATGACATTTTTTGCAGAGTTTATGGGTCCTAGTGAGGATCTGGCTGCAGTCGAGAAGAAGACTTCAGGGTTTGACCTGGAGGCTATCAACTTTTATTTTGGGTGCGGGCAGTAATTCGCCTCTGGTGGATACGACTTTTCAGCTCCTTATAAACTGGGCAACCTCTATAGTTAGCAGTGTAATTTCAGCCGCAGTTTTTCGAGTTGTGGCCATCTTTGCTCGTTGGGCAGTGTGCGGAGTCATGAAGCTCACCACAAACTACACACACCGGGCGCAGTTTACAATAAGACCTTGTATGTACCGGGCAATTGCGTTTGTGCGGCTCCTCAACTGCGGTGCAGCATTAACTGAAGATTGTATATAGGGTGCACTTCGTATTTCTTTAGGGGCTTAATTTCTGGTTCGAGCTCAACCTTAAAGAGTGGCTGCGGCTTTCTATCCCTGTTAAGGATATTGAAGACTGTCTTAGCGCTAAATCCCTTCTCTTGTAGCGCCTTTGTTATCTCTGCAGGCGATACTTCGGACTCTATGCCCTTAAGTACGACCCTTGCTGCTTTTTAGCTGATACGTGTAAAAGTTCTTTTTTTTTGTCGGTGAGATATTTCGATAATACTCTGTAATTATCTTCATACTTCGTTTGAACTTTAGTTTCGTGGATGTTGCCCTTTACGAGTGATATTATGTGGAAGTTGTCCTTGCCAATAAGCTCTATAATTTTGTTGACAAGAACGTTAGAACTTTTTTCTCGTATGTAAATTGGCGGATGCTTAGGCTTCCTTTTTTCGACTTCAGCAGATTCGGCATCATCCTCATAGTCTGCCAAGATTTTAAAACGGTTTGAGTTCGTGGGCGTTTCTATTGCAGCTATGTTAGCATTGCCACGGGTTATTTTACGTTGAGAGTTTAGGGGGATTTGGATGTAGCCATCCATACCAGTCTGCACAGCCGGTTTAATATTTGCTTTGTTTTTGTTCTCTTTTTCGGGCAGCGCAGCGGCAGAAGTTTTAATGTTTGCGCTGCTGCTGACGTCGTTAAGCGCGCTGTCGTTACAGTTGCGGTTGTTGTTGTTGTTACGGTTGAAGTTGTCAAAGAAACATTAGCGATTTCAACCTTGGAACCTTGGGCAAGAAGGAACAGCATGCAACAGAATACCTCACAGGGCACACAGAATAGGCGGCGCATTAATAAGCATGCACGAACCATTATTCAACGGGCTACCTGCAAAGAAGTACAGCTTAACAACAACAGCTTCCAGAAACAGTAAAGCGCAAGCGAAACTGAGATAAAGCAAACTAGAAACTGCTGATAAGCCCGCCGCTGCTCATCCGTCTTTGCTTTTTCTGCTTGGCCCAACAGGTAGTAATTATTGCCTCTACCACGATAGTTACCACGATTGCTACTACCGCGGTAGTTGTTATTCCCTCTTTTAGAGTACATCACTGTAGTCACACTACCAGTAAATCTTGTACTAGTACGGATGTACGCACTAAGGGCAGCATCTATGGTAGTGAAAATACCAGACTCCAAAACACTTTCGTGACTAGGTTAACTAATAATTGTGTTAACGTCTTCCGTAGTGCTGAGCATGTCAGCATTTTCAGATGGTATGCCTTGGTCAATATAAGCAGCTTCAAGAAGCTGTCGCAGATTTTACAATTGAATTGTAAACTGAGTGGCTGTTTTGCCTTTCTGCGTTAAAGTGTCCTTTTTTGCCTTTATGTTGGCGGGAGTTTCACCGACAACTAAGGCTTTTAATTTTGCAATAATTCCATCTATTGTGGCTTCAGTTTTTATTTTATTGAGGTTTGTGCCCGTTATTTTTGATTTAATCGACTCTACGGCAATTTCCTCATAAATTCCCTTTATAAGGTTGACAAGTCCTAA